TAATTAAAACTTATCGTTTGCAAACATATTTAGAAATTGATATCGACTTTTAAGTAATTCTGCAGAGGTTTGTTGAGATATGTGGCTGCTTGGGCAACAGTCTCTGGTTGTGCACGTTGAATGATAGGTTGTAAACCATAAAGAACATCTCTTCGAACTGGACATCCTGGAAACAGAGTAGAAGTCAAGTTTTATCCAGAAATTCAAATAGTATTAAACGTTAATCTGGTGTTGATGAGTGTTTCGTGAGCATTACCCAAAATGATTGATTTTCAATAGTTCCCTCTTGTTCTAGTATAGGAAAGATTGGTACGCCAGAAATTGGTGACATACTTTCATTATTTTTTGCCAGTTGATAAGTAATCAGCTTTTATTTCTCTAAGTGTTTTTGTTAAACACAAGAAAAAAAACGTTAACATTTTTTTAAAGAATAAAGAATAGTACCATAAACACACTCATGGTCTTCATCTATGTTCAAAATATTAATAGAAAAGGTTTTCTTTTATATTTGCGAATAACACAAGTAAAACAAAAAAAAATCTATTGTCTTTCAACACAACCTTGATTATGACCACAAACGCTATCGCGATATAATTAAAAAATATGTGTTTTTTGTGTAGTTTTTATGGTTCATAACATGCGGTATAGATAAATCTCATATTACAAAAGTAGAGTAAGACACAATAGAAGGTTAAGCAGCAAAAATTTTAGATTTTTAAACATGTTCGCAACAATGATATTAAGCGATAAAATGTTCTATAAACTTTATTTTGTAAAGAAAGTAAATTTTAGGGTTGACTAATATAATTTCAAAAATAACTTTTATAATCATCTGCATTATTATTACATTTTACAGTATTATATTTTTATAAGTATAGAACATTATTTTATCTTTGTTTAATATTAATTTCGTCGTATGTCTCAAACACCTAATTTAAACTTAATTCATCATATAGAAAAAGATTTTCTTCCAACTTATCTCCGAAGAAGGATGATCATCTGCAATTGCAAAAACTGTCTTAATAGTTTTAACCGTGATGTTTCTTTTATGTTTTTCTAACAACAGCTTATTAAAATATCCTAATCTATATTATTTTGACGATTTTTAAGTTTGTTAAGAAACATATTGTAGGAAAATTCACTGATGCAAATCTGTGCCATAAAATATGCACTACTTTTGCCTCGTTCTCAAAACATAGTCGTAACTCGACATTATCGGATAAACCCAATGTGTCTCAGTAGAACTCTAATGCTGCTTCAGTCTAGTCCTAATAAATTCATGGCTTTAACTTTTCAAAGAACCTCTTTGAATTTCTTAAGCGAGATGAACTGCTCCACAGTAAGTCTAGCCTTTCGCCATCGTCCAATTGCCTTGTTTGTTTGGCAAATGATATGCGAATTGTCGCTTCTATCCAAGCTATTATGACCTGTGATACAGATTAGAGAAACCTTGTTCTTACATCTCTTAATGTTGATAAATTGGTTTCTGCATGAACTGGAGATTTTCATCTTCTAATATTTTCAACTTGATGGAGAAGCGACCTACTTATACAGAAGTGTTAAATGATTTGATTGGGTAACATATTATTAAAAGTCTTATGATATGGTTGTATTTTGGTTATTTAATCGAAATCAATACAAAATCTGGTGTTTTGGTATTTAGTTTTGAAATATACAGCATTTAAAAGTGAAACTTTGTTGTGGTATTTTGCATGGGTTTAGTCTTCTTAGTCTTCTAGAGAGTTTTAGCTTCCTCGTTTGTATTTTAGTCTCGGCTGTACGCGACCAGACGGATTGTATGTAAATGTATTTCGACGCTGACTTATTTATAGCGCGTTCGCGGCTGGCGCTACGCGGCGTGTGAGACTATGCGCCGTCGTCGAGTACGACGTAGTCGTAGGAAAACTCTTTGTATTCCCGAAGGAACGCATAAGCGACGAATCCACCCATCGCAGCACGGGCCAAGAAGAGTACAAGTAGATGGGTTGGGTCCGGACCTGCTGCTGGCTGCCTGCCGCTCTGCCAGGAGGCCACAATGTTATCTGCCGCCGAGAAATTAATCGTCGTCGCCGAGTCCGAGTGGCCAAGCCGCGAGGTCCCATTTCCAATTTACGACGCACGTAGACCAAGCTGCACTTCATTAGCATCTAGTTACCGTTCGGATTTATGCGAGAACGTCGGATTATCAAAAATGAGGACGAGATCCGGTTCAAATCGGACTAGGACATTTTAAAGAAAAGGAGGAATAATTGACTTGAATTGTGTAACGTTTTAACATATTTTACGACCGACACGGAACGTGGTAGCAGTTAACGTGTTTATCGCTCAAGATCGATTATTATTATAGAATACTTTTCCCGTATTATCTTCTATTGATTAAGATTGGACGGGAACAAAACCGCAAAATGTAATTTCGAATTTAAAATTGGAAAGCTAGCCATGCATAAAGGCCGGTTCACAAAAACATCATTAGCGCGGAACATAATTAGAAGAATATTATTGGCCCCGCGTCGTTGAACGACGCGGAAAGCAATTATTCGTAACCAAACCGTGATATTTCATGGGAAAGCGTTGCGGTTTAGGTGAGAAATTCTCTATTTCCTTCAATTTGGATTCTCTACGAGATTTACACTGAAAAATCTAATCGAATCAAACCAAAGTACCGGAACAACAACGTATACGGTATTCAATTTTTGAAGTCACGCCCAGTTTAGGGGGACCCATTACGGGCGAATTGTGGCTCACGTAGGTATATGTTTCCATGTCAAATGGAGGTAAAAGAGGCGCACACAGCACCGCGTGTTTAGAAAGCGTATAATCGAAACGGATAACGTAGAAATTGAAACAGACGTCGTTTATGGAATCGCAGGTAGAAATGCCGTGGTTTCCAGCGCAAAACACGCGGAAATCGTTGTTGAATTACAAATCTCATTAAGCGGCATTAAACCGTGGAAGAGAAACTCTTCCATAACTTACACATTAAACATACAAAACGAATTAGAAATTACTATAATATTGTAAATAAATTATCAGTTTATTTACATAAATATTGATAAACAACGTACATACTTTGTAAGATAATTTATAAAAAAATCTAGAGCCGAGTGAAATGTTAAGCTAAAAGCGACAGGTGGATTACTTCATCGAAAATCGCGACTGGAATATAAATATCGATGAAGTGAAATGTCTTTTCTGCTAACACACGTTAAGAGAGAAAATTCGCTTTGATAAATAATACACTGTTTCTTTAAACTACTTACAGAACAAATAAATTTTTTATTTTGGCAATACTTTTGAAAACGAAAGTTATAAAAAAATTATAGTCTCGGTTTTTTTATCGCTTTACGATTCTTGGTAGTACGTTATCGAAAACGAGTTACCATTTCAACACTTCCAATTCCTAATCTGAAGCTTGTGCGCTATCTCCTTTACCTGAGGCGGCAATCGATTGTGCAACCATTGAAATAAACTGTTGTAACATTGAAATTATTTGATACGTTGAGTAATAGGTAATAAACTTAAATAACGTAGACTTGAAAATTGTTCAGAATAAAACTACTTTTTGAAAGCGAAATAAATCTGACGCAAAGAATTATTACCCACCTGAATGAATTATTGAACAGAAACAGATTCATTCTTAATCATTGCAATATATTTTGGGTTAGGCGCAGTTATTGTGTTAATAATTTATTAACTTTTAAATGGTTATTGTTTTGTTGCATCGTGGATTGATTAAGAAAAGGTCTGCAGAATGATGATGAAGCGAGAAAAGTAGAGAACGACCTTTCGTCGAATGTTCCTTTTCCTTTTTTCTTAACGCACAATCGCCGATCTCCCTTCGATAGATGGGGCAACAACGCGAGCCGCGACCATATGGCGTACGCGGAGGCTCTCTTGCGCTATCAAGACTCGGCCTGGCAAGTTCGATGAACTATCTCCGCGACCGGCCAAGGCATATTAGATTATTATTGCGCCTGAACGGTCGCATTGAGATAGAGAGAGAGGGCGAATGAAAGAAAAAAATATGCAAAGAGGTAAAGAAAATGTAACGTTTTGTTTTAAACTTTCCGTCCCCACATGTTATTCGATTAAAAAGCGTTATCTACTATTTAGAACAGTGATAAGAACCGTTCAGAAACTGGGTCGTTAATGTAAGTGGGTCGTGAGCGGTGATTATTTTTTCGTCTGTCCGAGTTATCGTCGTATTCGTCTTTATTGGGTGTTTGTTGCTGAAAAGCTCGCGAAAGGGCGTTCCGGGCGTGCATACCTAACTGTACAGTTTGGTGGAAAATGGGTCTTGAGTAAATGTGCGAGCGAGCGCGTGCTTACGAGAAGGAAGGAACGGTGTGTTCAAAAAGACACAACGCTTAGAAACACGAAAAATAAAACGACTAGTTGTCGTCGTCGTCGTCCCTCGTCTTTTCCATTCTAACCTCTCTATGGGTTCTATTTTCACTTCGCACCCGGTCACGTAGAGCGCGAAGAACGCGCTTCCTGCTTCTACTTTTGCCATTCGGGTTGGACGTGTCACCGACAATGGACAACAGGAAGTCCAACAGCTCAGTTTTCGATTGACACGAAGTTCCAACCGTGACACTACTAGGAAACGAACACCTCAACTTTTTCATTCATTTATATTGAAATTTTTGTGCAGAAAAGTTTCTCTAGAAAACTATATTAATATACATTTATTGATGGATTATTGACGATTGATGCGCAGTATCGGCCCCCGCGTCGTGATTGGGCCTGGGGGCTACGCAAAAGGTATCTGTGTCAGGGAGTCAGTCCGGGGGCCTCGAGAAAACCTATCGACAACGGTACAAAGGCTTCGTCTCTCGTCGAGACGCAAGGTTCTATTGTATTTTTGCACGCTTAAACGATGACAAACGTTATGCGAAGGCGTGTAATGGATTGTCGAAGATAACTCTTTACATCTCCATTTAAAAAAAACATCTTGTAATTTTTCTGTATGACTAATGGATTTTCCTTTTTTGTTTCAGGCGAGTAGATCGATTGCAAGAAGTGGATACCTTTTTGTCGCACCAGATTGGGATTTTTCAGTACCTTTAAACAGAACAAAGGTGAGAATGAAAATTAAATATGGTAAAACATCGATATAAAAACTGAAGACTTGAAGATTTGTAGATGCACGGCTAAACCCGAATCTTTCTTGTTTTAGATCTAGTGTTAGTTCTAGTTTTAATTGTTATTGTTGAACTAGAAACATTCTAGTTTGAACTAGAACTAGAAGCATGTTTGTAGTTCTGAATCTAGTGTTAGTTCTAATGACAGTGCTAGATCTCCTAGGTTTAGCAACCTCGTGTAAAGAATTCTTCTATTCTCTATTCTTCTACATTCGAATTATATACACAAGGCTTTATCAAAAATGCGAGGAAGCAAATGGAGCCGGTCAGTTTGGATTTAAAAGCGGATTTAGAGCCAGAGATGTCATGCTTAAACTCCAGATACTGGTGCAAAATTGCCAATCAATTATGAGAAGCCGTTTGATAACGTTAAACACAGTCTTCTGATAACATACCTTAGAGATCTGGGACTGGATGCAAAGGATATAAGACTATTAAGACTGATAATCTATATTGGTAACAAAAAGCGGAAGTCCGAGTAAATAACGCTGGAACAACTGTGGATTTTGAAATCAAAAAGGGCGCCCCTGGATACACCCTTCGCCAAGGGTGTATCCTGATGCTGTTCATCCTGTACGTAGAAAGAGCATTCTCCGAGTCAATCTTGAATAGTCGAAGTTGTCTAGACTTGTCTAGTAGAAGCAAATGAAACTCCCATTAACAATTAATTTGCAAAACCTATTAAACCGGTTTAGTGAAGAAAGCCAAAGACGAGGTTTGAAAATGAACATCAAAATTTATGGTAATTAGTAGAAACGATACTCCACACATTCGAAAACATGTTGATGGAGAGATCATCGAACAGGTCAAACAATTTAGATACTTGGGATACGTCATCAATGAGGGATGGAACTCGGATCAAGAGATAGGATGCCGGATTAAACAAGCAAGAACAAAGGCTTCCTTTCTAAGACTTCGAAAATTTCTTACGAACAAGAACCTGAATTTCAACCTTAGATATAGGATGGTAAAGTGCTACTAAAGTCTGGTCCATTTTCCTATATGAGGTTGAGACATGGACGCTGAAAATGGCAATCATCAATAAAAGGAAGCCTTTGAAATGTGGATCCTGCGGCGATTTTTGAAGGTGTCTTGGGTCGATCACCTGAGTAACGAAGACGCTCTCTGAAGGGCCGGTCTAGGAGAACGAGAATTTTATGAAAATATCAAGAAAAGAAAGAAGGTTTTTATAGAACTAGAACTAACACTACTTAGATCTTGAACTAGAAACATTCGGGTTTAGCCTAAAGTCTCTAAAGACGGCTAAACCCGAATGGTTCTAGTTCTAGGTCTACTGTTAGTTCTAGTTTTGCACTAGCTCTATCACTAGAACTAACACAAGACCTAGAATTAGAATCATTCGGGTTTAGCCGCACGTCTCTCAAGACAGCTGAACCCGAATGTTTCTAGGTCTAGTGTTAGTTCTAGTGACAGTGCTAGGTAGAGCTAGCTAGCACTTGATATCGCTATGTTGCGCATTTTTATAGAACTAAAACTAGAACCAGCATTAGATTTAGAACTAGAAAGTTTCGGATTTTGCCGTACATCTTCAGAGTCCACTCCCTTTCCCGTATTAGTCCGTTATATCGAGGTTTTACTGTATAAATAAAATTAAAATTATAGTAATTGAAGATTTATAATAAGTTAAACTTTAATGATTTGGTTTGATTTGTGATGTTTAAATGTGATGATAGAAATTGCATTTTGAATTGTATCGTTTGTGGCGCCGCGACGTCGAAACTGGGCGTCTGTGACCGGGTGGATTTAAATAAACGGGCTCGGTCCCGGCGTCTACGACAAATAAACGGACCGACTGCCCGTTGAAAAAAGAATTCCACGATAGAAGGCACAGACGGACGAAAATAGGCGTCTCGAAATAATTGTAGTAGAACCGACCGACTCTCTTCGTCCCCTTCGTGCGTGTCTTACAGAAATTAACGTCCAACGGGATCCTCTTTACGGGACGTTATAATGCTCTGTTGGCAGTTTGATTGCCGCTTCAACTGGATAGAAAGATGAAAAAAAAAGTGTAGTAAACGCGTTTGTTTATAATCGCCGGTCGACGGATTCTGGCCGCGATCCTGCGTAATGCCTCAATCTGGGCAGGAAAACATTCCTTTACATAACTCTCAAGGATAATCCGGTTGTAAGGAGGCACGAATAGCGGAGATTGAGCGGAAAGAGCGTGGGTAATACTCGGTAATGCCCACGACACAACGCGGCGAACATCGCATAAATTAGCTCTTTGAATAAAAAAAGAGAAAAAAGTGTTGAACGCGCGTTAGGTGTTAATTGGTCTCTATGGATAAGCAAACCTTGGTAGAAATTTTTTTGTTTGCCGAAACAATAGCCTGTTCGATTTTCAACGCTTTTCGACATTCAATTACATTTGATAAAGTATAATCGTAAATGTAAATTGTTACATTATCGTCCTTGTATTCATAAAAAATTCTTTACACACAACGTACGTAAGCAAAACTATGCTGAGCATGTTTTATAAAAAAAATTTCTTCACCCTATAAAGAAACGAATCTTTTAGATCGGTATCTATCGATTACACAATCGAAAATAGTCTTGTACAGATGCAACAAGACAACTACTACTCTTTGTTGTCGTGTCGTCTTCCTTCCCGAGATATCGCGATGCACCTTTCGCCCCGCGTATACCAACGACGAACACAACGACCTACATTTACCGGGTAGAGATGGATCCTCACAACGGAATCCAATCGAAGCGAACGAACGACGACGAGGAAGTCATCTCCGTTTGCGGTTAGTTACATAACGACGATCGTCTTGAGATCGTCCGCATAATACTCGTAAACGAAAAGAAGAAGCACCACAAGACAGAAGAGACGCATCCACGCGCGGGTCACGAAATGTCACGCCTGCCTGCGACTTTCGTTGCCCAACATCTTCAACTACCTATGTAGCAGCTATATCTCTACCTGAGTCGAAGCCGCTCGCTCGGTTCTCTTAATAATTGTCTGTCCCGCGTGCCTCTTCTTGCGCAACACGCTTTTATTGCCCACGGGGATTGGATCGTTTTCGGGACAACGACGAGACAACGAACTAACCTTGACACTATTCGAAATGAATTTTGAACGGTGACAACATGCACCTGTCTCGTAGTAATCGTATTTTAGTTATTAACTCATAGAAATATTATCTAGAACTGAAAAACTTCATTGTTGTTTATATTAATAATTTTAATTTAGTACTGATTCGTTTTTATCTATTGATTTAGTATTGATTTTATTAGCATTGTTTTTTCCTATAGCAGAGTACAGAGATCACCAATATACGGTATGCTTCGGGATACTCCTCATTCTATATGTCTAACAATCATTCATCATCAGAAAAAAACAATTATCATAACACTATCCATATAACACACAAAATTCATATATGTAATAAAAATATTACTTGTTCTTACAAGCACTGCTGCATTTTGAATTCCACAGCATATCTTTTGCACGGCAATTACATTTTTTGGTACTGCAGTATTGTTTGCATTGGTACATAACGAAACCTTGTTATGTACCAACAACAAAGCTGACGCTTTTCTTAATGTTGACGAGGAACTAAGCATATCTGACTGGCTAATAAAATTTGAATCTTCAAAGGTGAATTCATTTCGAGAATAATCTGTCCAGTTCTATTTCATTCATTCCTAACTTGTACAGACCGGATTCATTTACTTTAAGAAGTACAGGGAGCACATTTCTAGGCACAAGTCGAGCTATGGAACTTTTCTCGCTGATTTTGAATAAGGTCGATTCTGCTATAACGGCCGCATGCAATCTTTTCATCAAATTCAACCCCACATTTTGCATGTACCTTTGCTTTAGATTTAGTACATGTAGAGATGGAAAATTTTCAAGACAAAAAAAGATAGAAGAATATTCTCGAGAATATTCTCGATTTTGAGAATTTTCTGAGAACAAGCTTTTAAATATACAATTCAGCAAATTCAGTCTGACGGCTGTAACGTGGCATGATTTATGTTTATGAGATTAGTTACTATGAAGGACTTATTTATGATGTTTAGAATACATGTATGATGAAACCAATAACAAAAAAAACAACAAAAACCAGTATTATTCTAAGAAAAATTAAATAATTGTTAGTTCGAATCTAATGAATTTTCAGACAGCTCTGGCAAAGTTTCCAAATCACTGCATTCAATCACTTCAATATCAGAAATGTCTTCATTGCCTTCATTAACCTCCACATTGGTGGCAAAATCTAATAATTTTAAATTATGAGCAATGAAAGTTATTTTACCAACTCGTTCAGTCATTAGCCGATTTCTTTTCGCAGTGTGAATAAAGCTGTAGGTGCTGAAGCTTCTATCTATTGCTGCACTCGACGCAGGCATACATAGTATCTTGACCACTACTTTACTTAATGTCGACCCAGAACAAGCCCCCTTCCACCATACAACGAGATGTAGTTTTTCCACGAATTTTAAAACATATGGTTTTCCAAATAACCCTTCTTTAGATCGATAAAAGGCCAATTCTGCCATTACCTCTGCAGACTCATCTAGGCTATCTCTATTAAGATGAATTCCATTAAAAAATTTTATCTAGAAATATTTGCAGCAAGATGGATTGGACTTCCTTTTCATCTTGGTTAAGTAAAGAGCTTGAGGAAAGGGCTCTTTCAAAATGTCTTTCCAACTCATAAAAGCATTCAACTACTCGGCTTAACCTTGGTTTATCTCCTTCCAGTTGGGTTATGTGTTTAACATTTGGGTTTATTAGGTGATAAAAGTTTGAAACTTTTATCCAAAAGGATATCCTCATCCAATATCAACTTTGCAACTCATTTACTGAGTATATCTTCAACAATTTCACCAACTGCTAATGTTTTTAATGCATATTTTGTGTCAAGAAGACTTTTTGAACTATGAATAATTGATCCCCATCGTGT